ATGGCACAACAATGTGAATATAGTTAATGCTACCAAATTTTACACTTAAAAATGGTTGAAATGGTAACTTTTACATTATTTACTTTTTGTACTGTGATTAAAAATACATGCAGATTAGAAATAGGTCTGCAGGGGCTGGGGCATCTGGAGGAGGCTTACGGGTGAAGCAAGAAGTGACAAGCAGTGGCCACCCTGTGAAGGAGGAGATGGTGGGAGCTTTGGTTTATTTTTTGTTTTGGGCGGGAGCTTTGGTTTAACAGCCTCCGTGCACAGAGAACAGGAGACAAGGCACAGGCAGGCATCTCATGGGATCTTCCTCACTGAACCTGGGATGCCGCTGTTAGGATGAACTGAACACACTCTGTCACCACCACCTGCACTGAGGGGAGCGCATAGAATGGCCTGACTCAAACCTCGGTGTTGTGCGAAGGGGGCAGAAAACTGTCCTGACTCCGAAACCACAGGAGAACCTCCCTGTGGCTTTGCAGCCTAATTCACACCACATGGACCGTCCAGACGCGTCAAACAGGGAGTTCATTTTACAGTGGCACCAGGTTGGCAGTGCGTCCAGGTGCCTAGCAAAATGAATTTCATTCTGGAAGAACAGAGCTTTAATATAGCACTGAAAGAATTCACGCAAAGTTCCAAGGAAAATATAATGCAATGAGAAGTTATAAAAAATACAAGAAAACATGCCACTGGAAATAAGAGCTGACAAGGTCCACAGATGGCAGGAAGAGATCCTCACTGAAATTGTTGTGATCAGACTCAGAATATGGATTTAGGATGTTTAATATGTACAAAGAAAGAAAAAAGGGGGCTGGAAATATGTTAGAAGCAAAAGACCATATAATGACCAAGCAGATCTGAAAAAGCACCAAATACTAGAAATGAAAATATAGTAATGAAAAGAAAGCCAGGAAATTGGACACGTGAGCAGAGAACTGGTACGTCGGAGGTTGGATCTGGAGAAGTTATTTAGAGGTAGCCCAGGAGAGAAAGGGGGACAAAGAGGATCCTGCGACAGGGAGATGAGAGTCATGGACAGAAGAGGGATTGGCATGCTCATCTGAACTGCAGAAGGAGGCGAGGACAGAATGAGGTAGCAGGAAATAAGAGAGAGTGTGAAAGCTGCACTCTCAGCGTGAAACATGCAGGTACAGGCAGTGGTGGCCGGTACACCAGCGAGGGAAAGATGGACATTTTAATAAATGGAACTGGGAACACGGCTTTCTTTATGGCAAAGAAAACAGACTCTTATCTCCCACTGTATGCAAAAATGAATTCCTGGTAGGCTTAAATGAGAAAGGCAAAACTACAATTTTAAGAATGATCATATAATCAGATATTCTTACAACTGCGGGACGTGAAGGGATTTCGTAAACAAGGTACAAAATGTGCAATAACTTTGCACTTTATAGGAAAAAACGGATAAGTTATATTTCACTTAAGAACTTCTATTTATCAATAACACCATAAGGGAAGTGAAAGACACTCATAAACTGAGAAACGTCTGTAAGACGTATCATAAATAAAGGTCTTGATCCTATATACAAGGGTACTTCCAAAAGTTCATGGGAAGGTTGGTATCGTCTTTTAATTCTCTCTTTCCACGAACTTTTTGAAGTACCCTCTCTATGTGTGTGTATATATACACACATGTGCACAGATAGACATATACGCATGCTTACATATACATATATACATGCAAACACACATAACAGACTTAGAAACTAATCATAGAAAAACAAGTAGCCCAACAGAGAAATGGGCAAATGATTTCATGAAGAAAAAATAAAAGTGGACCAAGATGCTCAACTTTATTCATAATGAGAGAGATGCAAATTAGAATAAAAACAAAATACCACTTTATACTTACCTGATTAACAAAAATTAAAAACCGCCTGACACTGTCACATGTTGATGAGGACACGTAACGGTGTGGCATTTATATGATGTTGGTGGGAATGTAGACTGGTAGCACCACTTTAGAAAACGTTGCAGTGTCATCTGGTTANATACATGCAAACACACATAACAGACTTAGAAACTAATCATAGAAAAACAAGTAGCCCAACAGAGAAATGGGCAAATGATTTCATGAAGAAAAAATAAAAGTGGACCAAGATGCTCAACTTTATTCATAATGAGAGAGATGCAAATTAGAATAAAAACAAAATACCACTTTATACTTACCTGATTAACAAAAATTAAAAACCGCCTGACACTGTCACATGTTGATGAGGACACGTAACGGTGTGGCATTTATATGCTGTTGGTGGGAATGTAGACTGGTAGCACCACTTTAGAAAACGTTGCAGTGTCATCTGGTTAATCGAGCATTTCTGTACCCAGCAATTCCACTCCTGGTAAATTGTGTGTTTCTTAGAAGAGCTGGTTTGTTTCCTTGTAAGGTTGAACATTGACATTCCTAGCAATTCTATTCCCAGGAGTATGTTCTAAAGAAATACTTTCACATTTGTACTGGGAGACATGTCCCAGAATGTTGATAGCAGCAAAATAATTGGGGAAAAAAAACCACAAAAACCCCCTGAGTGTTCAGTAGTAAAATGGAGAAGTAAATCGTGGTATATTGGAATATACCATAATTGAATATTATATAACAGATAAAATGGATGTTACAGCCACAAAACACCACCTGGATCAGTCTCAGGAACATAATGTTGATGCAAAAAAACTGAAAAACAAAAAGTAGGTGCAAAAGGATACATATGTTGTGATTCCATATCTGTGAAGTTCAAAACTATACAAAACTGAACAATGTAGAAGTTTTGGATATAAGCATAGTAAAACAGAAGAAATGAGAGGAAATGATAAAATCAGGACAGTGGCTGACCCTGAGGAGGGGGGCGTGAATGGGCTTGGGGTGGGAACCCTGGGGGACTCTAGCACTTAACCAATAATTTTTTTTTCTTGTACTGGGTGATACCGTATAGATATACATTGAATTGTTTTTCTTTATACCTTATACACATTTAAAAATATGTATTTGCCTCTGTTCAATATTTAATACAAATATATATATATATATATATACATTTTAAAAAGCATGATCCCTAGTATAATTTAATGTAGAGAAAAATACCCTAAGCCCTTCAGAGTCCTTGGGGCTTTCACTGATTTGTAGTGCAGTGTGAACTGAGTGTGCATGAACCTGACTCAGCAAGAGGGTACTTAGGTGCATCCTGTAGATGGTATTTAAGAGCGCCAGGAGGTGGAGTCACACGTTTTTGGAAGATGGCCCTAACAGAGGTCAATATTAAATACATTCTGTTTAAAGAGTAATCTTTAGTTTTCTGGGAAATTTAGCAACATGGGACCTTTTGTTCCTCACTGATAATAAGTGAGGTCAGTATTAATTGATATTAAAAATGGCAAGCATCGTCTCTGGGAATGCCATCGTATTGGGTTGTTTTAATCACTTGCATTTTAAATATGGGTATCCAGTGCCAGAAGAGGTAAGTTTTGATTGTTTCTTTCCTCCTCTCCGCCCCTGTGTTCGTCCTCCTGCAGATTCCTTTGGCTTCACCCCGCCGAGGTCTGTGTCCCCTCTGCTGCTCGGGTATGGAGCTGGGCTCTCCGCCAGTGTGCCAGTGCCAGGCCCCGTCTGGCTTTTAGTCCGTTCCGTCTGCTGTATTCTTCTGTACATTTCTGTTCTCAACCTTGTGCTAAGCTCACCAGCATCCCTCATTAAGTATTTGAGTAACAAATCCATGAAGATTAATTTTTTTTTTCAAAATTGA